TTCAAATTAATTGAATTGATCGATAACGACAAAAGCGAAGGTAATAATGTTAGTCGATCATTGATTAAACGCCATGTTTCAAAATTAATCGGATGTAGAGTTATTGAGTGTAATTTTGATAGTGTACCATTGGTTGTATCTAATTTCGAAAAGAAACGAGCGATCTTGAAATCCATAACAGGATCACATTGATTGAAGAATATTAATGAACGAATTTGAGATGATATATTAGGTAAACGAGCACAAACTAAATCAAATTGTTCTTTTTTTTTAGCAGACAAGGAAAAATCGAAGTGAAAGGAAGGATAAGTGAGACAAATCGTATAAAAATGTTTGTTAACGAAACATAGCGATGTAAGAATATCGGTCATAGAAAGATGATTAAGAATCATGTGGAGCAATTCCACTGGTAATTTACTAAGATCATCCGACATAATATTTTATTTTTAAACAATGAAAAATCTTGTGCTATGTTTGAGAGAGGAGATAATATTAAGGAAATAAAACAATGATCGTCATAATTGTTGCCTAACCCATTTTGCCCAGTCAAAGGTTGACAATATATAACATCACTCATCGAAAAAAAAAGAATGAGGTGGAAGTGAGAGTGTTGTTTTCATTTTTCGTCTTCACTTAGAGACCTAATTGATTTGAACGATTTCTTAGAGAAGATATTTGATAGAAATACTAGTCAAACTAAGAAATCGATGCCATGTAATAAAGGGGTGTGGATGTGAATGACAAGCTCAGCCACAGCCACACCCAATATAATCTGTTCTATGAAAATATTAATCAAGCTTTGGCGAAAACACGATCCTGTTTGATGAAAGTACGGTCGAGTTAGGACCATAAGATAACATTAGATATCTGGTGTCTGAAGATCCTCACCTTCACAGCGAACAGTGGTGATACTTTCTAATGTTATATTGGTTTGATTTATTTCATCATTTGTAAATAGATTCTTCATTGGTTCAATCGATGTCAAAGGAGAATTGACGGTTTTATCATTTTTCATTTCACGAGATTGAAACTAGGTGATTATTTTGAAATTTGACTTTACCATTTTTTTATGCCTGGAATACCCTCACGAATCGAAAAAAAATTTTTCTTTAGGATGTGGGTGGGTGGGTGTGGGTGTGTGGGTGTGGGTCTAGATCTCTTATTCATCCACACCCACACCCACACTCAGCCCCCGCGCGAGCGGGGGGCGAGATTGAGGGGGTGTGCACCCCCCAAAAATCAAGATTTTTCTGTTTTTCCCAGCAAAAAAAGCAAATTTTGGCTATTTTTTACGTTTTTCTTAGAGATTTCTGTTGAAAATATTCCTCTGCCCCCCCCCCCCCCAAACTGCCAAACACTCCCCCCCCAAAGTCTGATCCTTCGCGCGGGGCCTGCCCACACTCATAGGCCCTCAAGGGAGTAAGGCAGTAAGGGGATAGGTGATGAGGGGATCAGGTTATGAGGGATGAGGCTATAAGGGGGAGAAGGTTATAGGGAGAAACGCTGCAAGGAAGTAAGGCTGTAAGGGAGTAAGACTATAAGATAGTAAGACTATAAGATAGTAAGACTATAAGAGAGTAAAGCTGTAGGGGAGTAGGATTATAAAGGGTTAAGGCAATAAGAGAGTAAGGGTATAAGAGAATAAGTCTATAAGGGATAAGGCTATAAGGAGCAAGGTAATAAAGGGTGGAGCTACAAGGAGGAAGGCTATAAGGCGGTAAGACTATAAGAGAGTAAAGCTGTAGGGGAGTAGGGCCGTAAGGGGTAAGGTTATATAGGCGTAAGGCAATAACAGAGTAAGGCTATTAAGGGGTCAGGCTATAAGAGGGTAAGACAATAAGGAGGTAAGGCTATACGGAAGGAACGCTATAAGGCTGAGACGTTCTAAGGAGGTTAGACTACAAGGGGTAAGGCTATAAGCACGTAAGGCTACAAGAGCTACAAGAAATATAAGGCTGTAAGGTCGTGAGGCTACATGGGCTATTAGCGATATAAGGGTATTAGACCGTAGGGCTTCTATGCACATAATGTCGAGTGTTTGTGTGTCTGTTACCGAGTGAAAAATTAAAGTTTTGAGGTCGTACACTAAAGAAAAAAATGTCGCCGTGCAGTATACACGGGTTCTCGCTAGTATTTTATATTTGTCTGTATAAATATATAAAAGGTAGGTAGGGTATTGTCCAAATAGTGACGAATTTGTAGTGTGAATGCTGGAAATGACCGATTCACCTTCGTGAAGAATTTCTTCAGCAGAAATAGATAAGAAACGAACTTGTATTGCATTGAATAGATTTAGAAACAGTCCCACTCTTCCTCTTCTGCTATTCTAGATCTACAAATATATCTAAACTATTAGCAGAGACATAAAAATAAAAATGTGACCATTTAAAATTGAATTCAATATGTTCTAGAGAAATTTTGAAAAAAAAATGAATTTGTGAAATGATTAACTGTCGCTTCTGCGTATTTTATATGTAAGCTTTCCTAAAGATTTGAACTAAAAATAATACACTGTTTTAATCTTCAAATTCTGTATTTGAACATGACTTTATTAATATGAAAGTACAGTGTACTTCAATTGGTTTTTCTCTTTGATATTTTTTTTTTGTTTTTATTATTATACTTCTTTTATTTATTAACCTACTATATATAGCGCGAAAGTCCAAAACACGCTGCATCTTTTGATATATTTACATTAGACATCAAACGCAATTTAACGTGTACAAAATGTATTAGAAAAAAAAAATAACATTTTTTTTTACTACAATACCGAGTGTTCATAATGTTGTAACAGTTTTTATTTCGCGTATATCTCGACTTGAGAAAATAATAGAATATTGAATATTTTTTAACAAATGTGCTGTTGAAAGCTCTAAAAATCTGTATGAAACAATTCCTATAGAGAATCAGAATAGTTTTCTAAACATGTTCAATATGATGGGAAGTGAAACTGTCATGCAGGTTTTTCATTTTGAGTATAAGAAAAAACATTAAAACCGGTAACAGGGAATTCAATCTCTACAGTTTTTATAGAGCTTTTCACAATGCATCTTCTGAGAAAAATTCAAGATTTTATCATTCACTTAAGCCAAGATATATGCGAAATAAAAACTCTTACAACATTATGAACACTCGGTATTCTAGTAAAAAAAAAATGTTGTTTTTTTTCCTAATACATTTTTTACATGTTAAATTGCATTTGATGTTTAATTGTAAATGTATCAAAAGATGCAGCGCATTTCAGACTTTCTCGCTATATATAGTAGGTTAATAAATAAAAGAAGTATAATAATAAAAACAAAAAAAATATCAAAGGGAAAAACCAAATGAGGTGCATTGTAATTCAAAGATCCAGTATTCTTTTTAATTGATGATATAATGTTGCCGAGATTCTAATGTTACGAAATAACATACATATGATTAAACTAAGATTAATTGAGTTTGGCTTTCTAAATATTTTTTTTCTGTAATAACTGATAAAGATTGTAAATTTTCAATGAATATGCAATATAAAATGATTTATTTGAAAATAAAATTCTTGTTTCAGTTGATAAAAGGCGTCAAGTCTCATTGTTGATAACAATATAATTTATGTTACATCTATAAAAGCAAATTGTCGACTTGATTCAAAAATACATTTATTTGATGAGAAGTTTTATCTTGAGTAGTGAACATCTAACACTAATAAAACTTGATCAATAACGTTATGAAGGAGATTTAATAATTGATAATTTTTTTTTTTTGAAAATTATGGTGAACGATAAAAAAAATAATGAAGATACTAATAAATTAATTTAAAAATTGAACATTATAGAAGAACATATTTGTGATAAATATTGTATTTTATAATTTTCTAAATATATTCGAGAAAAATAAAAACGATTTGATAAAGAATATATCTAATCATTCGAATAATTGTGATGAAACATTTTAAGATGTTATATGTATTTGTCTTTAACATGGAATGATCAAAATATGAAAAAATTAATAAATCATCATATTTAATCAAAAAGATTTAATTATTACACTTCTATGATTTTCATTTTTTAAGTTTTAGAATATTGATAACAAAAAATTCGTATTAACATTTTGTAGCATTATATAGAATAGTTAATTGCAATAAAAGATGAATATTTATATTACTTTTCATCATATGAATTAAGTTAAATAATATCTGAATCAATATTTTATTATTACTATTTTCCATCTAAAATATTACGAAACATTTTGATAAATCATTCATTACTAACATTATTTAAACATGAATGGTTACTATTATCTCTAAAGTTATATATTGAGATATTTCAAATGTATATATTGTAAATGAATTATCTAAAGCATTAGATATTGATCAATCAACTCTTAATCGTGAATTGATTCATAAAAGAGTAGCCACTATCATGTATAGAAAATATCATTTAAAGAAGAAACAACTAACAAAAAAAAGTATGTGAAAAATTATCTTCTTTTTATTAATTTAAATTACCGAGACAATATTGATTATCTTACATCTGAAAACTACAAATTTAGATAGTCTCTGTCGTTCAAACTGCTACGAATAGATACATAAGACGTCACTCTTACTAAGGATATTACGAAATTGAGACTATTTGAATATCTGAAAAAAGTCTTAAATTATTCAATTTGACAGATATACAAATTGTGATTTAATTGTAGATAAATGATATTTATCCATTATTAATTTGAACTGCTTATGATGAAAACGATTCATTTTTCTAATTATTGTAAATATGAAATGTATTTATTTAATTAATAATAAATAAAATAACTTTGAAGTTTAATTAAATGTCAATGCTCATACTTAATTGTCATCAAATTGAATAAAGATAAAAATAGGAATATAATCTCACAATTAACCTATATTTATGTTAATTGTGACTGAGATTTTTCTATATTTTGACGTGTCTTATTAATCACGCACAAAAATTTCTATATAAACTCTAATAGATCATTAATGATGTCTGCAATTGAAATACAAAATGTCTTCGGATGCTGACACTATTGTTTATTTATTAAATGTTGCAACTCTTTTATATAAAACTTTTGGTTTATTTATAATTGTTGTTAGTACAATTGGTAATATATGTAATTGTTTTGTTTTTCTATGTATTCGATCTTTAAATAAACATCCAAATGCATTATTTGTCATTGGTTCATCAATAGGTAGTTTATTATATATAAATATTGGTTTATTTTCACCTATAATATCAGTTTTCAGTCAATTTAATCCAATAAATCGATGGTTATTTTGGTGTAAAATAAGTGCTTGGTTATATTATTCTGCTGGTTGTTTTAGTTTTATATGTATTTGTTTTTCTGCTCTTGATCAATTTCTTTTAACTTTACCAAGAATAAAATGGCAACGATTAATAACACGTATTCGAGCTCAATTCATGATTTTATTCACAGCAATTATTTGGCTTATAATTTTTTTACCATTATTAATATTTGCTAATCATATTCAAACATCAGCAACAACATTTACTTGTACAATTTCTGTTCCTATAATTAGTGTTTATAGTACTTATTGGATTATAATTGGTTATTATTTTTTACCAATTATTTTAATATTAATATTATTTTGTTTAACTCGGTACAATTTAAAACAATTTTTAAGACGTCGTCGTAATTTAGAAAGTGCAATGGTTCGTGTGATGCTTATTCAAATGAGTGTTATACTTATTAGTGGAATACCAACAAGTATCTGTATTATTTATTCATTAGCTACAAAATATTCCACTAAAACATATCTAAGATCAGTATATGAATCTGTTATTTTGCTTGCTTTTGTTTTATTTACGTTTTTTACAAATGGAATTTCTTTTTGGGTTTATTTATTTGCATCTAAAATGTTCAGAAAACATATTAAAGATTCTATTTCAAAATTAAAATTATTCAAAAATCGACTAACAATATTTTCTACATCATCAACAACAAGAATAAACGTACTTCACTAACTTTTATTGAAAACCTTTTTTGTTTTTTTGCTATCCAGCATTTCTCTTGGACACATCTTACCAAGTTTATAATATTTTACAAATAAAAAATTCTAAAAACAACTTTTTTTTCGTTGTAACCACATAAAATATATTCCTTTTCAATGGAAAATTTGTCGAACTGTACTTTATTACACAATAAAAAATATCTATCTATATAATGTTCAATGTGTGTCTATTTCTCTGCCGGATTAAAGGGCAAACATCTAAAGTTAAAGGTTAAGATTTCTAGCATTTTCTAGAACGTTCGAAAATTATGTGAACGTTGGTAGAAGTTTCTAGAATATTCTGGAACTTTCTAGAAGTTTTGTTAAGAACTTTATGCATGGTTGCAAGGTAAAGATCAAATAAGGCTATAAGGGGAAGGTATTCAAGGCCTATTTATATGAGATCCCTATAGGTTCTTAAGCGCTATCCTATAGGTCCTCAGAAACTATTATATGGAGTACCCCTAGGTTCTCAAAGTCTATTATGTGCGAGTACCCATAGGATAAGGGAATAAGTCAACAAGGCAAAATACAAAAAAGGAGGTAAGGCGATATAGGATAAGGTTACAAGGGATATAAGACTATAAGGTCGAAGGCTATATGGACTATAAAAATATGTGCGATATAAGACTATGAGGCCGTAGGACTATCTAACTATCTACGTATATACATAATATCGAATGTCTGTATGTCTGTTACCGGATGTAAAGTTAACTGTCTAAGGTCTTACGTTAAAGAAGAAAACAGTCGTGTAGTATACATGGGCTCTCGCTAGTGATTTTATATTGATTGGTTAATAAATTCAATGTTCTATTGTAAACTTAGTGTTTTTTGTTAATACTCAGCTATATTGATTAACAATACTGACATGTCTTTGTCTGCTAACAGTGGAGACCTACGGGTTCATGTTTTTTTGGGCCCGAACTCGAACAGATTCAGACCCAGACCCGAGCTTTTTTCCATTGATATTTGGCACTTTTTGTGTGCATGACCAAATAAAGAATCAAGATTGTAGTTATTTATTGGTTATACTCAGAAAAAAAGTCCATATAAAGTTATTTCTTCTTGTCGTCCCTCACATGGTTTTATGCAGATTCGAAGCTGAATGCAAAGTGGATCTGATGTTAAAATCGGATATGGACCCGAGTCTAGAAGGATTCGTAGGTTCCTAATCAAGAGTAGTGTCATATTAAAGTGATTCATTATATAATGATTCCATTTATTATTATTTGTAGTTTAAATGGAATTCTATATTTTTGTTTCTAATCAATTAATTTATATTTAATATATCTGATTTCTCCACATATATTAAATCTATTTCAATGCAATTGATATGAATAAAAAAAGAACAATCTTTGAGAAAATTCTGATAAAATAGAAAGTAATATTTATTATATTTATCACATTTGTTTCAAAATGAATCGTATTATAATATTTTCATTGATTCATTCAGATAAATGAATTTTTATAAATATGCAACAAACTAAAATACATTCTTAACGGTCAAAATATTTCCACAATGAATTGATTTCAAAAGAAATTTCGATGAGAATTCATCAACAACAAATTCTTTGAGAATATTAACATCACAATTGTTCAGATATGAAAAGACACTCGGTTAAAATATGTTGAATCTTTACTATTGATTTTTGTAAAGTTTCTTATTATCTTTCTATTTTTGTGAGTTAATCTGGAAGTCTATTGTCATTAGGACTAGTATTTTATCTTTTAATAAAAAATAATTCACCCTTGCAGCACATATTTATCAAAGAATTATAGTTGGCGATTTTTGTGCGACTTGTTTATTAAATCAAAATCGGATAACATGGAAAGCTTTTCACATTTTTACTTTTGTCTTCTTTTAGATATCTTCGATGTCAAGCAGCATGTTGCTATCAGGGTCTTCTACTTCCATGCAATCAAGTATCGTTTTTTTTATTAAGAAGTTTCTTTCTCTTTTCCTTGGTACTTGTAATTATCTATATAATTATAATATAAAATATTAAGAAAAACATAGTTAGATTGATTTTTGTCTTATTTTATTAAAAATCGTTGATTGAATATGATGTTCTGCATATGTTTATTTATAGTTGATCATTTTATATTGAAATACGATAAATGATTTATTGCTTGTAATCATTGTGATGGTCCCTTATTGATTAAATAGATTATTGTTAGATAAAAAGCATGCTCATAGCAGAGATGTCCGTCATGAATAAAAAAAACCTTTCGTGTCGTTAGTAGACGCTGGTTTCACTGCGATGAACCGCTCCGACTCATTGTGCTGGTATCTTATGTCTATATAAGGTTATGGAATTTTTCTTCATTTATATCAATCTACATAAAACTTGTGAAATTCTAAATGATGAATCAATATTGAATTAAGAAAATCTAAAAAGACGAGAGATATGATCGTAATTGTTCTTTATAATAATAGTGAATATGTGTTGATGACAAAACACCAGAATTATTCAATTTACTGTTAAAGTGCATGATAAAATAATAATTGTCAATTACCTGTAATTATTGGAATAAAGCACAAAAATCTCGTGACGTCATATAAGATTCTTTTCTGGTTTTCAATAGATAAAAATCTGTCTCATTTGTGTAATTAGAATAGAAGATTCGATACCATATTTTTACTGTTTAAAATAAAATTGAAGAAAGAAAAAAAGATTATTGTTTATGTCAAAATCGTTTGAAAATCTGATCTGAACTGAATATCTTACTTGTCATATTTAAAGTAGAAAGAAATGTTAATGTCTCTAACAATAAATTCAATTAAAAAAGATTTTTTTTTTTTTGTATTAATATTTGGTTAATTTTTCTCTTCTTTCTTTCTTTATATTTTACTCTAAAGATTAAAGTTTGACAAATAAAGAATCAAATTTAAATTAAATAAATTAATGAAAATTAAAATAAAATAATAATATATTCGAAAAATGAATATGTCTTTTTTAGGAACATAAAAACTTTCTGTGTATATTTTCATTCTGATGTTGTTATGATGTTTAACATAAGATGTAGAAATGAGGGAAGAAGACAGATAGTCTATAGCGACCTGCATCGGAGTCAATTAAATTTCTTGTCAAGAAATTTAATTGGCTTCAAAATGACTTTGATCAGGTCTCTAATAGTTCATCTCTTCTATCAATATCATCGTCTTGTCATCCTATTTTTATATGTTAAACGATATCTAAACAAAGAAAAAAATCAGAAAATTTTTACATTCATATGTGCCTGATGAAGACAATATTGTTGGTCGAAATATCAAAATTTTATTTCAAGTTTTACTAATTTATTTAACGAAAGAAATTATTTGCTTCATTTGTTAAAAGTATTCTGACTTTTAATTGATTGCTAATATCAGAAATCAGTTGTCAAGAAATAGCTCTCTAAAAGACGTTTGATAATTTCTTCATGAAAAAGTATTACCATATGGAATACGAAGGAAAACGAGAAATCAAAAATTGTTTTCATTGTATTTTTATCGGAAGCTTTGTTTCAAGGAAATATTTACAACTAAGATGTCATTTTGCCTTTACTTTACTAGTGAATAGTAGATACTAAATTACTTAACTTATGGACCAGCTGGAAAAAAGAAATACTTTATGTTAATGGAAAATCCTATCTACAATTATTTGTTTTAGTTTGTTAGTGAGTTTCTTAACGAAAACTGTCTGGAAGAAAGAAAAATCTCTTTGAAGTATTATGAAAATCATCATTTCTAAACTATTCGATGAATTTTCAATTATTTTGGTCACATAGCATGTTTCATGCATAATCTGTTTAAATCTTGTTTATTTCAGTATATGGAAGTCTGACAGGTGTATGCTGTCCTGTTCGACATTGGTGGATGTGGGTGTGGGTGTGGGTGTGAGTGTAGGTATGGTTGTTGACCTGCTTTTTATCTAAACCCACACCCACACCCACACCCACGCCCACCCACACCCTCACCCACACCCACACCTCACACACCCACACCCA